CCTTTTCCCATCCACAACAGCAACAATGACTTCTTTTTACAAATGAATGGAATCTCACCTGGTGGACACAGCTATAATTGAAGGGAACCTTAGACTGCATTCTTCCAACTTTGAACTGCAATCTTGCCCACATATCCCTCTAGGTTTGGAATCGACTTGCCGGGCAGTTCAGAGATCTGCAGTTTGACTAGAAGTGTTTTTACATACAGGGTTTCCCCTACAATCCTTGGGATCCAGGTCACAAGATTTGTTTTGCCTTCCAGTGCAGTCGAAGTGCTTTGTTGGGAACGGGCTGGATCTGATCTACCTACATGTCGCTTGTGACTCACCAAAAAAAAAAAAGAAAACATGCGTGAGCACACACCAAACATGATGCATAAAACTTGCATGCGTTTATTGATATGTACAGGTGCACACTTAGAAATAATGCTTCCAATTTAAGTAGAAATGCTGTACTTTTCGTCATTGCGTGGACGACTGTGACCAAGCGTCGTGTCCGGAGTGCTTGCTCAGCCTGCCGTCCCGGTGTCTCTGTTGAGCATCCTCAAGGACCAGCTCTTCCTTCCAATGGCTCTTTATCTTTAAACTGGGCTTGTATGGACGGCCCTCTTCACAGAGAACAGCCCTCTGGCACCTCTCTAAATAGAGGACTGCCCTCATAGGCAGAGGCACATGGCCACCATACTTCTGTGGGTAGAAGAGTGGAAGTGCATTGATTTATGTAGAAGTGTCCACTGGGAGGGCCACGTGGCAGATGCTCCCCCTGGATAAGTCATAAGTTCCAGCTTTCCTCTTCAAAGGGCTTATTTTTAGCCCTTACAAGAGGTAAGACACATGGCAAAATGTGCCCAATGATTCTGGGAGAAAGCAGCCTGCTCTTTCATTGGTTTCCAGCCAGTGAATGAAATCACAAGGGATGACTGATATGCCCATTGTCTGGGGAAAGACCTTGATCGTTCATTGTCACGCCATTTTTCTTTTTGTCTTTTTGTGATTGCTGTCACATAGGAAACAATCCAGGAAGCCAGAATAGTAATGCAGCCCAGACACCAAAGGTAGCAAAACAGAGAGAGGGAGAGGGAGAGAGAGCTTTGTGATCTAATTTGGTCTTGTTTCATACCAAATATAATGTGTTCCCCACACATGCTTGTAAACATTTTTAAAGCCCTCCCAATGTAAAGTCCATCATTTTTATATCAGTATTGCAGGAGGTACAACTGTGGCTAAGAAGGTAAAGTAACCGTGCTTATTCCCACTCTTTTTATTGGGTGTCTGCAGTGTAGTTTAATGCAATCAGCCAGTGTCCAGGGATGCTAGTATTTTTAGGGAAATGCAGTACACTGCAGACTGTAACAGCAGTGCAGTTAATTCAGGGCTAGAGGAAAAGAACCCGGAAAAACTGAAGAGTTCAGGAACAGGTGGAAAAACATCCTCTGGACTGATGTATAGGCACTCCATAAGAAACAATTGAGGGATAGACCCGCCACCCAGTTTCGTAAAAGTCTCATTTGCCCGAGTCGGTAGACCAGATCCTGAGGCCTCACCATTGCTCAGTAAGCAGATCCACCAAAAATGCTAGAGCTGTTATCTGACACTAGATATGTATGTATCTATATTGTGCCCACTCCATATAGGTTCCTGCAGAAGCCTGTGGAAGGGTGCCTTGGCCAGGTGGTTACTTGATCGCCTGATTTTTGTCCAGAAACAGCCAGAATGCATGCAGTTGTAAGAGGACACCCATTCTTAAAAAAAAAAAAAAAAAGAATAGTGCTTTTTATTTCAGTAGTAAACCTTGTTTCTTAAACCCTGACATAACATGTGAAATTCAATGTTCATGTGCAGAGGAGAGGAGAGGAGTGGAGAGGATGCATATAGAATGCCTCAGAAACCAGGTGCCCATTGTTAAAGCCTCAAGTTTTTCCACTATAAAATGCGTATCCTAATTATAAAGGGTTGTTGTTGTTAGTCGTGAAGTTATGTCCAACCCATCGCGGCCCCATGGACAACATTCCTCCAGGCCTTCCTGTCCTCCACCATCCCCCGGAGTCCACTTAAGCTCACGCCGACTGCTTCCGTGACTCCATCCAGCCACCTCATCCTCTGCCGCCCCCTTCTTCTTTTGCCATCTATTGTTCCCAGCATTAGGCTCTTCTCCAGGGAGTCCTTCCCTCTCATTAGGTGGCCAAGGTATTTGAGTTTCATCTTCAGTGTCTGGCCTTCTAAAGAGCAGTCAGGGTTGATCTCCTCTAGGACTGACTGGTTTGATCGCCTTGCAGGAGATGACTACAGATTCAAGACCCATCAGTAATTCTCCAGGACTGAAGGCTCACAAAGATTATACTATTGTGCAGGTTGCACAAACATGCCAGGATCTTTACTAAGGTGCCCAACAGTCCATAAGGTTGCTGAGCCTGGTCTTCTCCTGTGACTTTTGACAGCTGATCTGCACAAATCAGCAGAAGCTTTTCAGTTTGGAGATAAAGATGGTTATTGATGAAACTCAGCTTCTGTTAAAGGTACAGGAGCAGGGACTGATAGAAAAGTTGGCAGCCCCTTTTATTGTCCTGTCAAATCATACAAAGAATATACTCGCTCATGGTTTTCCTTTCATTTTCTATCCGAAGCTGGCAATTTTTTTACGCTTAGCCCCTGAATGCTGTGGCCCTTTTTAATACTGTTACTATAGATGTTTTAATAGGTTTTTAATGTGTTTTATTATGTTTAATGTTTCGTAAGCCACCTAGGAAGGCCTCAGCACATACAGGCAGCCTATAAATATGTGTGTTAATAAATAATCAGCTGCCTTTCAGAACACAATAGTTATGCCCCAACTGCAAAGACTGACTGATCCTTTAGGGTTGGTGGCCATGGGCAAAATGTTGGGAGACCCCATCCTGACAACTACAACAACAAAACTTCAAGCAATTGCAGTTTAAGGGTCCTGTTGAGAAATCTGCCAAATGTCATCATTTCAGCCCCAAGAAAAGACAGCCCTCTTTTCTGAGGCTCTAAAGAGTCATCTGGGCACCAAGGGGCTTGAGGGGGATGATGCTTTCCAGGCGTTTTGCGGATTCATATTTTGCTATTCTTTGCTATTGTCTGGTTTTTTTTTTTTGTTGCTTAAAATACAATAAAAGTATAAAATCAGAAAAAATAAAAGTTTTATCAGTTTTTATGGAATGTTGTAAACTGGCTAGAGGACTTTGAGGGATGGCATAGAAATGAAACTAATAACAATAATTATAATAATTAATAAAAGTGACTCTTGCATACTGATGGACTTTGAAGCACTGAGTATCTGGAGACCTTTTTTAACCAAAAAAAAGGGGGGGTACTGTATTTGATTTAAGAGAACTAATGGATTTTGTGATTATTCATGTGTAGGTGATGCTTCGCTTTAGAACAAAACCTGCCCCCTTTTCTCAGGATCCCTGAAGGGATGCATGTGGAAAATGTTCAGAGAGAATGCATCTTGAGGCTCCTGGACTTTGAGGTCACGTGGCGCTTTCATCTTGGCGTAATGTTTTTCAAAGGATTTTTCCATTAGCATTTCTCAGAAAAGGAAGACAAAAAATGGATTTTCTTTAAAATGTGGATGTCTGCATGCTCAGGTAGCTTTTTCAGATAATGCAGTACCTGTCAGTTTTGGCATGTATGTATACCAAGTCTCTACAAATTGCAAGCAAAGTAAATTTGTATGTAATATGGGGTTGGAGTTACAGGATTTTAATCTTCTGCAAGAATCCTGTATTTTCTCTCCCTAATTTCCCTTGAAATACTCACCAATATATTTTGTTTCATTCTCATGGTTTTGTGCCTCACTTAAGGTCTAAGCACACATTTCATGCAAAATTCCCTGTCAGAATCACCACCACTTCCAGCACCTCTTTCTCTGCATACATTCTCTGTAACTACAAACAGTTTAAAGGCATAAGAATGGACCTCCTTTAAAAGAAAAGGAAAAAAAGCCTTGCAGGAAGCCCTCGAAGGGATTACATGACATGATGCAACAAGAACAGACCTCTTTGCAGCCTCTCTGGGTTAGTGCCTTCTGCACATGCACAGGTGACATCTTCCAGTGCATTGCCCCAGTAAGACTTCACGTTTCAGATACAAACAATGTGCACCCCCACACTTGTACAAGTCTGAAAACAAAAATGGATAAAAATCTGCAAATTTCTTGCACTTATTTTTGTAATGTGGTGATGCTTGGGCTGTCAATCCAGAGATCATGGAAGGAAAGAAACGTAAGGGACAGGAGGAAAAAGCCATGGCACGGTGGGGAAAGGAGATAAGATGGCTTCCATCACCAAGTCCCCTGGGACACCGGATGGAGGACAGAGAAGAAAGGAAAGAAGATAACCCACAGTGAGTCCAAATGCCTGTTGGGTGCACCATAGATCAACCTGTGAACAGCAGCCAACCTACCATTTCTTATCCGCAGGGGAAGTTAGCACGTTGCACAACTCTGCCTGTTATGCCAGAGCCTCTCCCCGCAGATCTGCTGTGAATACTGCAATTCAACACCTGATACCCATGAAGTATTAATAAGGGAAGAGAGCATGTCTTCTGTGTAGTATAACATTTATTATATCATTAATTATTTCCTTTCTGGGCATGTGCAGAGGACATTTCTGCCACTAGCTGCTTTGAGATCAGTTGGCAACTCAGGAAGCCTAAAGATCTGGCTTACAGACCTTAAGCCAAGTGAGACGGTACCCAACGTCAAACCAATTATTGTTCCTTCTGGCAAAAATGTGGTAAAACCACAGCTGCTGAATTAATTTCATACTGAAAAATTTCAGTCATAAAAGTCACAGTATAAATAATGCCTTTATTTGTTGTATCCCCAGTTCACAGTTGCTGAGGGTGAATGTCTGATTTTTTAGAGAGAGAAAAGACAGTGGTGGGCAAGAAGGAATCTTCTGCTTCTGGGGGAAGATGTGGCATAAAGCTCAGTCTGCCATTTGTTTCAACCAGAAAAATGAAGATGGAGACTGGTTTGTGGACAGCAATTAGGTTAGAAGTGCATCCTATAGCATATAAGCAAGGGACATCTCTTAAAATAAAGGATTGCCTAAAGCATCTAATAGTTGCCCATGTTTTGGCCTTAGCTGGAATTCATAGGACCCTTTCAAGGCAGACGAAAAGGAAAACCTGCTAACCCTGGTGCAAACAAACAGATCTGTTTTAATTTTAGAAGGGGTACCAGGTACCCCTCCAATAGTACAAGTCAGTGACTGGCACTGGTTCCTAACATTAAGGTCTCCTAGGCTTAGATCAAGAAAACCATTTTGTTAGAAGCAATGGGCTCATTACTGTGTCCAGAAGTCAAAGCGGAAGGTGAGTTAGACAACAAAAAAAAGGGGGGGGGTGGAATGTGTTACTGAAATACCAATGTTAACAAGCAAGAGTAGGCATGCAGCTGGTGAGAACCAGATAACTTCAGGTCCAGGGGGAGGCAGTGTAGAAAAAATGAGGGATGGAGGAGGAGGTATGAATTCATCAACACAGTGATTAGTCATCAAGCCAAATGTTCAGACCAATTAAGTAATGTCTGGCATTTCCACTCTCTGGCCCACAAGTAGGATGATCCTCCCTGAGGGTGGAGCTCACCCCTTTTGGAAGAAAAGGGAAAAGGGCTCTAATCAACTCCTGACAAGGGCAAAATATAACTCCACCAGTCAAAGAGATCACTAATAAATGCTATTTGTCAACAAGTTTATTATTACTCACTCTGTATTGCAAAGTCAGCCTTACTCAATAAAGTTCGGTATTTTAGAAGTCTTTCACTTTAATCTGCTGCTAATGGAAAGGGAAAGGGGGAGAGACCTGCCCATGACAAATACAGAGGATGGATGCTCTCTCGCTTCACATTTTTTCCTGTGTAATGCTTCACCACTAAAAGAGCTGAACAGTTCTGCAGACAGAAAGCTCCAATATGAACAAGCATTCTTGACTAAACAAGGAAATGCATCCATTGTCCAAGGTCCTCTGTATTGAGAGCAGTGGTGCAAAGAACTCACACACTCAGGGATGCAGCATTGGGACTTTCTAATTAGCAGGGATTTTGACATCTCCCAGTCCTCTCAGAATACTCTAAGTTTAGCTGGAATCCCCCATCATGGGGGAAATTAATATCCCCAGCACTGGTTTGGGGTGGTTTGGTCTTGAATGGACCATTAAGATGCACTGGTATTAAGAAAAGAAAACACAAAGCAAAAATCAAAGCTATTTCCCTTGTAGAGATAACACTTCTAGAACTAGTGTGTTAATCCAGATCAACACAGTTCTCCACATTCTGGATTCCTTTTGAAGGCTTGACTATGGCAACTGTCATGATGAATGTCTTCCATTCAGGAGGTGCCACAACACTTCTGATGGAAAGGAAAGGCATTAAGCGTATACTGTTTGGCAGCAGGGTAAGAACAAGCACTTCGGAGTCTGCCATGGACTCATACAGAAATGGACTTACATTCTGGGCATTTGGTAAGGCCAGCAGGTACAATACAAAAGAGACCAACAGAAACCTAACTTTTAGTCACTTGGACAAACATGAAAGAACAATTTGCTTTTCAGATACCTAGTAATATAGACTTAGACACTTGAGCTATCTGCTGTATTCTTTAGTCCTTCCTCCTCACTTTTCAGAGGGACTGTTTCATGACCATCCTGCACCTTTTCTGCATTTGTGGCATCTTCTTGCTCAGTAATCATATGTGTTCTTATGTGTCCATCATCCTGATTTTCCACTTCCTCCTTTTTCTTTGCCTTCTCTTCTTTTGCAAGCATTTGGTAGTTGTAATAATTCATGATGAAGAGGAATGTTCCAGCTAAGACCATCACTGCTCCGCATTTAATGAACATGTATTTGTAGTCCCCAAATGTGTCAATAAGAGTTCCTGTAAAGGGAGAAAGAGAAAAATCTTACTTAGAAACAGTACTATCACTCAACTGAAAAAAACATTAGCAGATTCATCATGAATTTTACTTGATAGGTGAAATTAAGCACACAGTCAATGAAAATCAATCAAATCTCCATCAGTACTAACAACATTGACAACCTTAAGGGACATCTGTAAATTCTAGAGTAATTTCAAGTCTGCATTTTTAGCAAGCATGTTTTTGCTTGTTGCACATGAATTTCATCCTCTACATTAACATGCCAATGATGTGTTCGTTGGTTCCCTATTTTCTTCTCCTTAATACACAGTGCTTTTAATTAACCACCTTGGTGACAATCTGTTGAAAGTGTGGTGATTAATTATTTCAATGTGTAATCGTATGAACTAGGAATTTTGTCACAGGGAAGGTATGCTCCCTAGTATGGTAAAAATACAATTTCATATGCTCTGGCTGAAAAATGTCACTCCTAGGAACAGCCTAGTCCATATTCAGGCCATCATCCAGTAATATTAATGAAACATCAACCAAAGGCTAATTACAGCAATTCTCACTTTCTGCTAATCAGGATGACCTAGAGGTCTGCTAAACACATTCAGAGTTTTAATAAAGAAGGTACTGCAAAATTTAACAGTAGAAGAGTCTTGCCACAACCCCATTTCAGAATAAGAGAAAGTCATAAAACACACCTGGAAAAAATTATTTTGTTCATTAAAGCAAAACCTAGCAGTAGGTTATTAAATACCAGAGTCAATCCATTTCCTGCTTATTAAAATGGGTGAAAGCAAACTGCAGAACTCATATTGCAAACCATTAGACAACACTTTCTTGGCTTCATTACCAGTCTTCAACAATTAGTGTAATCTGTTTCATAAAATTGTATTTTAGTTGGAAAAATGGTGGGTGTGTGTGTGTGTGTGTTTTATCTGGAATAAAATGAAATCTCACCAAAGAAGATACTACACAAGTGCTCATCCCACACAAAGGTAAAAAAGAAGTGAATTGCTTTTCAGAGTAGGAGAACTAAGTAACAACATTGGCCTGCATTTTAATAAATCTTTTTCAATTCAATATGGAGGCTTTAGTCTCACTAAAGTCAACAAGTATAATTTAGATTCAATCTGGTGCAGCCATTTTGTGATTTGTAGATCTAAGCCACACAACCTAACCCTACTCTGAGGCACAAGAGTAAAATGCTGATCCCACACATTATAGAACTGAACATGCCATGCTTGGTCATTAAATTTCCTTGATGCAACGATCTTTTTGCTCTTCTACTGAGAGAACATAGGAAGGGGAATAGAAACATCTTGTTATCCAATATATGTGTGAGGATTTAAATCCAGCTTAATCAACATGAACCAAAGAAGATCCACCAAAATGCTTTCCTGTAAACAGACGGAGAGATAAATGAGACCTGCCACTACCATGTTACGTTGGTGGAAATGACCTCCAGCACAACAGCAATGCCATCATTTTATAATGATCAGGAATACAACAGTGTGGATTATCTTGGCCTTGCTCTCCAGGGAAACGTCCTTGATTAACTTTTCTAGTTCCTTCACTGCTGCCCTTCGCAGTCTCAGTCTTCATTTCTTGGCTCCAGTCTCCTTTTGAATTCATGACTAGCCAAGATGTGTAAAACCTTTCAGAATTTCAATTTCTTCATTGTTGAGAGTAAAGTTGAGTGATCTTCTGTGCTCATTTTTGTTTTAATATTTGGCTGTAGTCCTGCTTCCACACTTTCTTTCACTTTCGGCAAGGCCCACTTCAATTCATTGCTGCTTACGGTCAATAATATGGCATTATCCACATATTATGAATTATTCTGCTAATATCCCTTCTTCCTCTGATCCTAATCCACTTTTCCTTGTATGTTCTGCTTACAGATTAAGCAGACAGGGAAATAAAATAACCCCCCCCCCCCCGATGACTTTGCCTAAAGAAAAATTCCTCTGCATTCTGTCTTAATGTGCTGAGTCACACGCATTTCTTTCAAGACTATACATAGATTCTCATGATCCACACAGTTCAAGGCTTTGCTGTAGTCTATAAATTATGGAGTGATCTTCTACTGGGATTCTTTCATGTGGTCTACTAGCCAACATATATTTGCAACATGATTCCAGGTGCCTCTTCCTAGTGCAATGTACAAGGGGTCTTCAAAAAGTTTCCACACTTTTTAAAAACTCTATTTATTAAGAATTTCTAAAAGAAATCACATCACTTTTCTACATAGTCACCTTCCTTTGCAGTGCATTTTTCCCAGCATCATACCAACTTTTAATGCCATCAGCAAAAAATATTTAAAATATATTTATGAAATATAAAAGTGCAGAAACTTTTACAAGACCCCTCGGAATTTATGCTAGTTGTGGTGTCACCTTGGATACTGCATTGTATCTTTCAAAATATTTACTAAACAGATCAAACATTCGTAAATTTGTCATCTTTGCCACATCCATTTCCTTCTCACCTTAGTTATGGCCTCTGAAATCTATTTCGAATGTGTCATGAGAAACCTAAGCGGCTTTTGGGTGGTGCAATAATAATATTATAATAATGTGCTTATTGTAGTAAAGAAGATGAAAAGAGTATTGTGGGCAATGAAAGATAATATCTGGAGTAGAGGTCCTCTGTCTCCCAGGACCATGTGGAGAAAAGAAGACCTCTTGTTGTTTTTAATCTTCATCCAGTATCAATTTAAAAACTAGTATTGCTTGCATTTGGGGTCATTTTATGACCCCAGAAAAAAAACTGCTTCAGAAAAAGGTAGTTCAGGCATCCCATGATGTAGAATGAAGAAGGCTGTTGCGGTCACTCTAAAAAGCAGCTCCAGGTCTCAGTTTCTTTCAGTCAAAAATAAAAAGTGTGAGCTTCCTTCCTAAGAAGTTGTGCCTGTCCTTGAAAGTCAGAGAACATCTCTGGAATGCTGTAACATTTATGCCAAGGCAGTTAAAGAGCAGAGCCAAAGAGCATGTGGATACACTCCCCTCACGCAGAAAATTAAATCCTAGCACTTCTTTAGTGTGCTGTGGGTAAAATGCCAGTAAATGCTACCTAGCTTGCACATGCCAAGTTGGCATCACCTGTTCCAACCAGGAGGTGAGCAACTTAATCCACACAACTCTTGCACAATATGGAATTATAGTTCTGCTGTGATAGGAATGGCAGCAACTTAAGGCCTATTGCTGCACTGTAATCAACATGAAAACTGCCATTGTGCATTTGAACCTGGGAATGGTTTCAGGGCTTTTATTCTGAAAGCTAAATGAAAATTGCATCTAATTCCCCCTTACAAACATTCTGTCATATTGACACAACTCCTGCAGAGCTGTCTTGGAGAGAGGAGATTTTGCTATCAGAAGGCTTTTTGTTGTTTGAAGATAATGAGCTTTTGATGGAACAGTTATATCTCTGAAGAACAAAAAGAGCAGGGATTATACGACAAAAACATGTGTATTTGCCACAGCGTCTACCCAGCCCCTCCCCAGAGATGTCATATTAGTTCAGAATTGTTTAGTGAACAGTTTCCAGGCGGTTTCTCACTTAACTGACCATATAAACCGCTGCTGCCTGTCCTACATTCTTGGGAAGAGGACTTGCAAGAAATGGAACCAAAAGATGAATTCAGTGGGGCTCACTTCTGAAGAGACATTATAGAACTGCACCGTAAATTAAGAAAGCAATTATGCATTCAGAAAGGTAGGAAGGCTGGATGGTTTCTCACATGCAAAGACACAAAATATAGCATATGGTTGTATTGTTTTCTGCACATAAATTCCTATTGAATAAACTCTCTTCCGTTTCTGGAGGCTGCATTGCTGGCACCAAATTTTACCGCGGTGATACTTTCTTCCACATATTTGCCAAATCCATCAACAGAAACATATTATTCTTGTTGATGTTTAGTTTCTACAACTAAAATCAAGGCGTCCTCATTCCCTGTTGCATTAAATGTTTTAATAAATAAATAAAATAAAATAGGTTGGTAGGTTAGTTTAGGAACAGAAACTGCCTTGGTCACACTGTGCTGAGAGACGGATTCTTTTGGACCTCTCAGCAATATTCGGAGCCATTGACCATGGTATGCTTCTAGATAGACTGTCTGGGCTTGGGCTGCACATGCCACTTTGCAATCTTACTTGAATGACTGATTTTCCCTCCCTCTTGCAAATATTAGAACAAAAGGGGGGGATTCCATGAAGCAGATTGGTGGAGGTTCAGGACAGGTAAAAGGAAGGATGTGTTCACACAGCACATGGTTAAACTGTGGAATTCACTTCCATGCTGCAGCAACGGCCACTGAGTTGGACCACTTTAAAGCTAGACTAGAGAAAGTCATGGAAGTTAAGGTTATGAAGGGATACTTGTCCTGAAGGCTCTATGCTAGGGACAGTTTCAGAGGCAGGATGCATATGCTGGAAAGCATGGATGGAAGGTTGTCCTTGCCCTCATGTCCTGCTTGTAGGTTTCCCACAGGCAACTCACTGGCCACTGTGTGAACAGAATGATGTATTAGATGGACCTTGGTTGGTTTGAACATGGCTCTTTTTATGCACTTTTTAAAAAATTACAGCAACACCTTTATTCACAACTGGGAAAATACATACCAACATCTCCATACATACCAACCAAGTCACTAAGTCATCATCAGAGGCCCGTCTCTGTTTCTCCCCGCAATGAAGCAAGAGGGGAGATAGTGAGAAGAAGGGGCCTCTCATAATAGCTCCCTGATTGTGGGACTCACTCCCATCCGAGAGTTGGCTGGCACCAACCCTTTATTCCCTCAGGTGCCAGTTATCTTTTTCATGATTATTTTGTTGGGTGAGCTGTTTTGGTTTATGCTTTTAATAGTTTCTGCTATTGCAGCTGCCATACTCTGATTTGAATGCCAGAAAAAACAGTGTGAATATTTCTATGTTATTAGGACATTTCGATATATATTATGTGCTTAGTTTTATGCTGTTTTTCCTCTCTTGATTTTATTGTTATCTGATTGGTTGATTTTATATTACAATTTTATGGTTGAATTGCATTGTTTTAATTGTTGTTAAATGTTGTATATTATGCTGTGAGCTATCCAGGGGGTCTATGGCTAATGGGGTGGCATACAAATCACATAGATAGATAGATAGATAGATAGATAGATAGATAGATAGATAGATGTTCTTATGATGCCAGCAGGTGGTTCTGGAGACGCCATGGCAGCTGCATTATGAGGATCTCCAGAGCTCTCTTGTCTCCTGCATGCTGTTTTTACACCTGCTTGAAGCTGCTGGGAGAAGTCATCTGAAGATGAGGGCCAATATGGTCCTGCCAGTGCAGCTCTACCATTCCTATTCCTTTAATCCAGGTGGGACAGTAAGTGTTCTAAAGCTATGCCTGGTGTGGTAATAGGCTAGGTAAGGTACATTCAAGTGAGACAGATCTAGAAAAAGATGAGGGCCAACTCATGAGCGGATCCAGCAGCCAACTGGGTGGTGTTTACTTTGTTCTGGATTGTCAGGCCAACAGCATGCAAACACTCTTGCATTTAGCATCATCCCTGGAGCCACATGATCTCTGTTCCTCAACAGCACTTTTATCAGGTTAAGCTGGTGAACCAACTGCAACCTTACCTGGGCAGGATTGCCCTGTTACCAGCATCCCAACTCTGATTACCTCCCAGTTGAATGGCTGCAATGTGTTGCCTTTGACAATGGTCCCAAAACTCCACCTAGTTCAGACTAGGACAGAGGACTGTTAACTGAGACTGATCATCCTTTTAGGCCAGCACATCATCTTCTGCCAGGTCTTCCCATTCATTTCCAGGCCCAATCCAAAGTGCTGGTATTAACCTTTAAAACCCGAAGCATTTGGGGACCAACTTACCTGAAGGGCTTTGTCCTCTTGTATGAACCTATCCAATGTTATTATTTTTTATTACATTTCTATACTGCCTTAACCAAAGCTCGCTGAGAGGTTCCCAACAGGACAGAGTCACCTTCTAAGAGTGGCTGCCACTGAGAGGCCTTGCCAGTGGGAACACCTGCCTACAGAATTCCCTCTTCGTCTTCATCTTCTTCAATTTATAAACCACAACCAATAGTCATAGCCAGGATTCTCTGGATGGTTTATGGCTTCAAGGGAAGACTTCTTTATTCTCTCAGACTGTTAAGGTTTTTTTAGACCTTCAGTTTTCAAAGTATGTTTTTTGGTCCTTGCACTGCTGTCCTCTGCTGTTGCTTTTACTTCGATTTCATTTTGTAGTGGTTTTAATTTTTTTTAGATGTTATGTTTTCCTATATTTGTGTGTTCTGTGGTTTCAAGCTTATGTTGTGAACCACACAGAGTGCTTCTGTTATTGGGTGCTATAGAAATGCTATCGGTCAATCAGAAGAATATTCCTGAACGTGTACTAAGAGCAAACACACATGCATGATCCATGTTGCCACTCTCTGTTCAAAAATCAATCTGGGCATCACCTAGATAGCTAGCTGATGAAGAAACCTGAGGTCTTGCAAAACATGCTTGTAAAACATTACATCTGAGCAGTTTGGAAGTGCAGATTTAGCAATAATCACTGGCACTGGTTTGAAAAAGGAGCGCTGATTTGCTCCAACACTTTGGTTTCGCAAGATCCAACTTAACAAGCTTGTAGAGCAACTGCACTTTTTTGCTGAGATTTGGGTTTTGATCCAGGTGAGTTTATCAGAATTGCAATTTAGAAACCACAAGGCAAGGAAACTGGATCAGCCAAAGGCAGAATCGGAGAATTAGAATTCAAAGAAGTCCAATGCCTCCAGCTTGAGACAAGGAATTTACAGGCTTGTATCCCACCACCAAACAGAATAATGAGGCAAAGTGTAGAAATATTCTTACCTCCGATGGGTGGTCCAAGTAATATGGTAAAACATTCCACAATGGTGACCAGTCCTACGGCACTTGTGAAGCGGCTGGCTCCAACAAGATCCATGAGAGTTTCAAACAGCATTGCACAGACCATTCCAAAGGCCAGTCCAAAGAAGACGGAATACACAACAAGGCCTAGATAGCCTGCTGCCAAGGGACAAAGGAGGTGGCAGGCACCATTAAAAGCAATGGAGAAGCTGAAAAAATACTGGATCTTTGGCCTCACCCATTTGCTGTTTGCAATTAGGCCAGTAGCTGGTCTGGCTATCATATCAACTATTCCAAGAATTGAAAGGAGGAAAGCCGCTGAATATTCATCAATCCCAATGTGCTTTGCATAAGGCGCCAAAAAGACAATAGGGGCAAAAAAGCCTAGGAACATGAGCACGTTCCCTATCAAGTAGATGAGGAAGCCCCTGTGCTTGAAAAGCGAGAAATCGAGGAACTTGTTGAACTTTTCACAGCAGTCTTTGTCGTCCTTCTCTTCCTTTCTGGGGTCCGCCATTTCAACAATGCCTCCATCGGCCTTTTTCGCTTTTGCATCGGCTTGCTTCCCCGTAGGCCCAACGGGTCTGAAGAGTGCTCCAGCCACGCAGCAGTTCAGCAGAAGCGCCCCGAGAATCATGAAGCTCCCCCTCCATCCAAAGTGGTCAAAAAGGAGCTGGTTCAAGGGTGCAAGGGTGCAGAGCATGACCGGACTTCCTGCCATGGCAAGGCCATTGGCCAGGGGACGTTTCTTCAGGAAGTACTTTCCAATGATGATCACTGAGGGCTGGAGGTTGAGGGCAAGACCAAGTCCTGTTGTACAGGGAGGAAGAAGCAAAAAGGCAGATCAGGCAAAATGCATTCTGGCATCACAGAGACTAAATGGCTCTGGGGCAACTGTATGCATGTTTAGATAGGGAAAAAAGTCCTACAACATCCAGCTTTCCCCAGCCCAGCTGACTGGGGAATGCTGAGAGTTGTAGGACTTTTCTTCTACTCAACAATGCATAGGATTGCACATTTACTGTTAGTCATGTTGTTCTTACATTGCATTTATATCCCACCTTTTTTCCTCTTGCAGAATTCCAAAGTGGCTTACAAGTTCTCCTTCTCTTCAATTCACCCTTACAACAACCACCTTATGAAGTGGGATAGGCTGCATAAGGTCATGGGCCACATGAATGACTGGCCCAAAGTCACACAGTGAGGACTAGAATCCAGATCTTCCAGACCCACAGTCCAACATCCTACCCACAATACCACACTGGCTGATGTTAGTCTGGAGAAGAGTTAATCTGCTGCTTGGTTAGTTGTTGCAATAAAAACAATGAAGAATTTTTGGTGCCTTTTTTAAAGCTATGTGGAGGTAAAAGCAGCTGCAGTATGCGAGTCAGCTCTGCCGTAATTGACACAAGTCTCTCAACAGTCTACACACAGACGGGACTCGGAAAATATATGCAGAATAATGTTGAAGTGGTATCCAGTCAAAAAAAAGCCCTTTAATTGTTTAGTCATGGCGGGAACCATAAATTCACATGAGCCAACAGACATTTACTAGAAGAAGCATTTAATATGCTTTGACTAGACACACATCAAATATTTTCTTGCATTATGTTTTCAAAACAATATTTTAATGCAAGCCAAACCTGTTTCTGGGCCTCTTAGGAATCATGACCAGCACATGGATGGAATTTGCCAGCCAGTTTTTGTTTCCAACAATCCATTTTGAAATTATTTTTAAAAACAGACCATGCCACGAAGGGATTAAAGGAAATTCTGGCCAAGAAACCAGGCAAGAACTTTATTATCTCTTATAAACAAGCTGAAAGACAACAGAAGATATGCTCCTGACTCCACCCAGATGAAATTAAGTCCGGTGCCACCTAGGGAATCACTATACAGTGGCTATTCATACAGAACACGCTGTGCTTGCCCAGGCAGCAGTAACAGGTTTCATCCGATTACATGATTAGAATGGCAAATGACTGGAAAATAATGCTTCCAAGCTGAATGTTGTGGAAGGGAGGCAAGAAGGGAAGGTTACTATTAAACACCAGACCCAGAGGCAAAATGGGAACTTGGCATGCAAGGGTCAGATTTGCTGAAGCACTCCATTTCCCCCCTTTTCCCTACAAAGAACAGTAAATGGGATAATTAACCATATTGCAAATTTGTTGCCTGAAGGTCTAGCTTGAAGTCTTAATAGTCTGAGCAAGGCAATTGAATATGCCTTCCAGACCTGAGGTATTGCATGGACACACTTTTTCATGAAATGAATCCACCTTAATTTCATAGATCAGCCGTTCCCAACCTTGTGCCTTCTAGACACCTTTGGACCACAACACCCAGTCTGAGAGTTATGGTTTAAATGCCTCGGAAGGCCACCAGGTTGAGGAAGTCAATTATTATTATTATTATTATTATTATTATTATTATTATTATTATTACATTTCTATGCCGCCCCTTGCCAAAACCTCGGGGCGGCTTACAACACAATAAAATACATTGAAATACAATAGAACATAATAAATTACCAATAAATACAAAAATACAAAAAATACATTGAGATACAAACATAATAATATAAAATTAAAATTAACAGTATAAAATAAGTAGATAAAGAATACCAGGTCTGTAGACATTCTCATTTATTATTATTCATATTATTATTACTATTATTTCTACACCACTTGTTTGTGTAAAAGCCATCAAGGCTGTGATCAGCAAATTCGGACAACGAAAATAGGGCACAATCAAGCGAAGGTTAAAAACAGTGAAAGACTGAAACCACTATGGGCTCAGTCCAGCGTCTCCTGAGCATGCAAGCCTCCTCCAGCACATTGGCTCACAGGCATCCGATGCAGGGCGAGCGGTATAGAAGAGGCAGCCTCTGCCACCTGGCGCTCCACACCCTGCTTTGCACTGAGAGGGACGTATTGGGCCTCCTCCCCCCACCACCCCAGCATGCCCCCTTTTTCTGGACTTTAGAGTGGCGCCCGGCACTGTTCTTTCCACCCTGGGCACAAGGGGGTCCAGGCAAGAGGTCCACATTTGGAGTCCCAGTCCCACAGGGCTCAGGGCTCAGAGCTGAGACCCCGAGTAGCCCTATGACCCCACCCAGACAGTGCCAGGAGGCCATCGATGGCACCCACATAGTTTGAAAAGGCCAGATTTCAAACATGCACATCACACCACTTCTCCAGGCCAACAGAGTAGTTGACAAGAGGGAGCTCGTTCCAGTTTTGGACTGATGTAGGAGGAAGCCCTTTCGAGACTGCATCTTCAAATGGCGCTCCCCTGCAGACCTTAATACCCAGAGGGGTCACCACCCCTTGAATAGCAGGTTCTAAAATGGACATCTTGAGCGTGGCCCAGAAAGGCAAAGCCAACCAATGGAGGTCTTTCAAGACAGGCCCCAGCAGCACGCGCTGGTTAGGAGCCTAGCCGTTGCCTTCCACACTGCTCGATTGGTTTGAGAGCTGGTGAGCAGGCAGATGTGAGGAAGCAGAGGGGCAGCAGGATGATCTCCTCCTCACATCCTTGCTCTCTCCTGGTCCATACAGTGGAACACACACCACGTGAGTGAGCACGTGGGGCCAGTGATGATGGGCAGGAACAGCCGCAGGAATCTAGCGGGTGGCGGATCCAGAGGGACACCAGGGCTTTCCAGCAACCCGAGGAAGCTGCCAACTGGCAACTGTAGAAGGGCCACCTTCAGTCTAATGCAAGCAAGTGTTTGCTTTCATATAGAAACCAGCACTCATCATATTAACACCTTCGGTGTCAGCAAGTTGTGTTTTCCTGCTACAGCTTCTTGTCAAAATCTTGAATCCCTGACCTTTTGCTTTGTTTTTGATGAAGATCTCTTTATAGTCATCATGCGGGCAGAGAAAGGCAAATAAGAAAGATGGCAATTTTTTTCAACAATGGTCATCATTGCTTATGTCACCCTGCATGCAAAGGGTATGAGATGGCCCAGGAGGCCACTTCTGCTTCTGTTTCTCAGGAAAGGAAAGAAAGTTTCACCATTACCTGTGATGAATCCACCACAAATGTATAGCTGAAAAATGCTTGCGGAGAACGCTGCAGAAACCATCCCGATGCCACATAGCAGACCTCCAAATATGACCACCGGTCGGCTTCCATAACGGTTCACCAAAATACTGCTAATGGGACCTAAAGAAATTGGAGAAGGAGAAATAGGCATTCCAGTGACAAGTGTTTCCAAACTTTCAAACTAATTTGGTTATTCAGTAAGGCTTAAGTTGTTAGGAATGTGCTCAGACCTCAACGTTAAGATAAGGAAACACTGGGTACAAAATCTGGCAACGGTATTGGGCACATTCATTTATCTAGTATCTTCAGAGTTCATGGCACTTTCCTGAATCCAATAAAATAGTTCCCTCTCTAAGGAGTTCACAATCTTAATTTCAAGAGAATGTCAGAAAAGGAAGGAGAAGCGGAGCCAAACAAGGGAGCCCATACCTGCTTAGTGAGACTTGGTGCTTTTCGGAGAGGTTTAAAATGCTTATTCAAGGCACCCAGTCCATGGCACACACCACAACCTGGTTTCCTCCCATCCTCCTGACAGAAGAGGACCAAGATGCCTGGCTGAAGATTGGATAACAATGTAGGGCTTTTCATGATGCATTAATTCATTAAGGGAAATTATAACTGTTGTAGTATTTCTTGTGAAATTTTTCATTCACCAGAACCTGTGTGGCATAGTGATAGTGTTGGACCAGGACTCAGGAGATCCAGGTTCTAGTCACCCGTCAGCCATAAAGCTTGCAGGGGACTTTGGGTCAATCACTATTCCAACAGGCTTTTGGCCTCTCTTTAACTACACTTGTACAGATAATTTGCCAACTGAAAAGATAAACTTCATGCAATTCATGAAAACTTATGGCTGCCCCCACACACAGTATCACAAGGTCTTTGTTATTTATGATACCTAATTGACACTTTGAGATGTCAGGGAGGAAAAGGAATTGTATTTTATTAATTGATTATTACATTTATATCCTGCCTTTCCTCCAAAACAACCACAGGAAAATATAGGATCCTCCTCTCCATTTTAACCTCACAATAACCCTGTGAAGTAAGCTAGCCTGAGGGCCGGTGGCTGGCCAGGGAGCTTCATGGCTGAGTGGGGACCAAATTGTGGTTCTTCCAAATCGCAGTCTAACTCTCAGGCATGAAACCACACACTGGCCTATACCCTGATTCCACTCCTTGATCAAACGTATGGGCTGTTGCCCTTTTAATCTATGGTAAGCACCCCCGGTTTTGTGAAATACTTTGGAGTCCTTGAAATGTCTATGTCTTAATTAAGAGAGCTAGAGAAGAATGAAAACGAAAGAAAGATGGCGGGGAGCTGGCATATACGTAACGCTGCAACTGAAAAAGCTTCAGAACCAAGAAAGCAGCCTCAGAGACCCAGTCAACAGCTGGTGAAGTTTTGCTAATATATTATTTTAATAACAGTCATGTCTGAAGAAAAGAAAGGTGAATAGGAAAAAAGAAAAAGAACAAATAGTGAAAAGGCAGGTGAAGATTTTATAAATGCAGCCTGATGCATGGAATAGGAAGGCCAATTGCCTCACTCCTACTAATGGGAAACCTAGAGAGAAAAGAAAATCCTCGGATTTCTTATTGCACCCAAATTTACTAAGAATCTGTTTTTGTGTGATTTTTCTCCTACTTAAGACACAATCACAGCACAAACCAGTTAGGCGATGCTCTATTAAGGTTTTTCTATTAAAGCTTTCTTCTTGCACGTTTAATTAGAAGCTTCCTTGTGACCTCTGTCCTATGGAGGCTAGAAGCTGAAAAACTGAGGTTATTTCATCAGCAATGTTCTGCTTTCATTACAAAAAGGAACCTAATACAGGTAGATGTCACAAATAGGAAGAATAATTAAACTTCCAGTGAACCTTTGCTGAATAGGGTATATTTCTGAGTAGACATTATAGAAGACTCTGGTCACAGTGAAGGCCACTGTTAATTATTATATTGTGTAGACAGACAAACAAATAACACACACACACAAACATGCTAGGATCATGATTCTGGACACAGAATCACTATGGGGAGCTGACAATTTAATCTGGCATCAGCAGGAGTGCAGAAATGCAAATCCATAAGCCATAGCTATTCCGCCCAGAGAGCTTCCACTGTGGGGAGGCAGAAACATGAAAGATGGCAATAACAACAGTGGTGGCAATAACAGTGAAAATCGCTGTGCTAAAGAGACATGCTGCGAAACCAACAAGGTTCCAACCTGGTTCGCACACAAGGAAGATTCCCTATAGTGGCAGCGGATGCTATTTTGCAAATTTGAACAGTACCCAGGAAGGGCTGCTGCCTGATGTTATGTGGAAGCGGCACAGGGTGGACTGTTGCAGTGGTTAATAAGGCACCAAGAAGCTGCAGCTGCCTTTGGGTGGCAGGTGACTTGTTAGCCATTCCACAAACCTACCTTCACGAGGTTTGTTCAACAAACCTGCTCCGGCTCCTGGCCTGAATATTCAAGAAGTCCCATAAGAAAAGTCACTCAAGGTGGTTTCTTGTTACATGCAAACTGGGCCTCAGTGAAATTACTCCTGAATGGACCTACTGAAAGAGGCCCTTGTATTTACCCATATGAGTCCCTTTAACTGCTTGAAAATGGCAACAATACTCTTCCTGCTACAACCCTTGCATCATTAATGTCCATTCTTTTAGCACTATAATTTAGCAGAGTGCTTTTTATGGAATGTTTCTTCCATTCATTGTCAGAACAAACTGATTAAGTCCTCTTTACATGATCAGGCTTCTGCGGCCAGCAGTCTCTTCATTCAACATAACCTTTCATTTGTTTACACATCGGAGGGGGAATTGAAGTCTGAAGCTGAAAGAGAATCGTTTTCAAGAGCGCTCAGCACCACCAAGGCTCTTGAACAACGTTCCTTGGATCTCAGCATAAGTGCCTGTGTCAACACAGCGTGTCCTATCTGGGAGACCGAAGTGGAAAGCATACAGGGCGACCTGCCAAAAAAAAGTGGGCAGGGGGCTGTAAATGAACTGCTGGAATTGCTTGTCTGGGTTGACCAAGGCTGCTGATTCAGAATGTTATTTCTGATTAAGCAACTTTTAGATCTCTGACGTTCCTGCTCCTCCTCCTCTCCTCCTCCATTCCTATTGATAGTTTAAATAAGCTTAAACTTATGAAAGCTCAAAATTTAAATTCCCACAATGATAAAAACAGAGCCAGTATTTAAAAAAATGAAAATTCACCAATGAATGTATTAACGACCAGCCTGGCTGAACACCATGAAGGTTGTGGGGGAAAGGATGCACAAAGCAGGGTGCCACAGCGGCAAAGGCCCTGTCACTGGTTGCCATCAAATGTGCCTGTGCAGGCAAAGGAGCAAGCAGGAGGCCTTGACAGGTAGCTCTTAATGAACAAGCATATTTATGCATTTAACTTTATTTATAGACATAGAAAAGGAGGTCCCTGCAGGTAGCCTGGCCCCAAGTTGTTCAGGGTCTCCTATGTCAACAATTTTACGTTGAACATGGCCCAGCAAAGCACTGGCAGCCAGTGCAGTTCTCTGACCAAAGACGTAACATGTTCACAGTAGACTGAAACCCTGAGCTGCTTTGCTATTTTTGCTGTCTAACGAACAGTGAATGAAAATTAATGAATCATCCACTACATGGCCTTCTCATTAAACCAAGACACAGCTTTCACAATATTTCTCAGAGCAACAGCCCTAAAAAAAGAGCAACCTACTCAGTGCTTTCTTTATGTCCATAGCCAGAAATGAAAGGAAACAATTTTCTGTGTGATTCCCCTTACGTATGAGATCATGGGGAAAACCCTCCCTGTGGAACAAAGAAGGCCATTTCCATGACCACAGTGGGGCTTCTCTCCCGCTTCTGCCATCAAGGAAATTACTGTCGACCACCATGGTGGTCCCTGTTCACAGCTCTGTTCATGCCGAGGTTTCTCCATACAATCCCTCCCACCTGCAGGTTCCTGTAGAGAAACCTTAACGGGAAACAAGATGCACACAGATTATAGATACAGCCCAAGGTGGTCGGCAGTCATTCCTGTGATGGCAGCAAATGTGGATTCTGCCTGCCTCTGCACACAAACTCACCACTGTAAGCAACCTGGTTCACAGAGAAATCCTCATGAGCCCACAGAGGAAGAAAATAAGAAATAAACTCAAGTAAACTAAACTTTTCGGGCAACCATGCTGATATCAAAGTTATGCATCTCAGGAACTGGGTTCATAGACAGCTGTTGTCATAGAAAGGAAAGAACAATTCTGCTGCTTTTAGAAAGCAAAGGTGATGATGAAACACAAATTCGTATCTGCAGATAAAGGGCCAGATCATGGATGGCCTTGCCCAATCCATACACATGCAAGTTCTTTTCTTAAGTAGTCTGCCTTTTCTTGTGGTAGAGAGATCTAAAGTAAATCATTGCATTTCCTTCCATAAATCACACCAGTTGAGTGACTGCCCTGCTTAATGTGTTTCATCAAAAGTGTGACAGATGTCCATTCATTACTGGTGATACACAAAAGGCCGTGTCACAGATTTTAGTGGCAGGCAAAAATACACTAACCTGCCTATGGGATACCAAGTCAAGTACAAAGGCATCTGTTAGGCTGTCCAATTACTTTTCACCTTGAGAGCAATTTTGAAATTTATGTTTTCTGAATGAGGTCAACTTTAATTCTGTACTAGCATGCAGTGTCAGAGAAAAAAATAAGTGGAAAAAAAGCCACAATTGATTTTAACTATCATAGCTGTACATAAGCGGTTGAACATTTATTGGAATTCCTTTTTAGCTTCTATCCCATCATAAGTCCTATGGGATTGGGCGATGGATCCATCTGTTCCAGTATTCTGGTCTCAGTAGGGATCAGCCAAATGCTTCTAGGAAGCACATGAGCTGGGCAAGAAAGCAATACCCAACATCCCCAGCAAGAGGTATTCAGAGGTACACTGCCCGTGAGCACAGAGGCTTCCTTTATCTAACAGCTGTTGAGAGACCCACCCACTATTTACTTTTTTAAGCAAATTACATTAATGGTGCAATCCGACAAGGATGCCTATAACCCTCCAAACTCGAAAGATTCTGGGGATCCTATGTAAGGCCTGAGGAGCAGACCTTTCTT